TTACATGGCTTGAAAGCAATAGTAATGTATCTACATTCATTGCCGTCGACAAAGAAGAACGTTCCGGAATTGATACGCGATCCGGTCGCTCTCATTCACGATGTCCGATGTTTGGTGGAAAAGCATAGACATGATAATCCAGAAGCGGCTGTGACGGGCAATCCTGTGTTACCACCACCACCACCTTTGAGTATCGCTGATAGGGTATTTATCATTCATTATCTTAAATTGAAACAAATACATTTGATCAATTTGATAAAGAACATAAAGGCAAGTAAAAGCCAGCACCGATGATGAAGCAAAAGTATTATTATACAATAAGGTACATATCTTGAAAATACAATTACATAACAAACGTTTTGGTCTTAGGTTTAGATTCTCCTCAGTGTAAAAAATAATGAAATGCACTTACAATGATATAGATAGTCATCGTATGGTAGTCGATAGTCATATTGGTAAAAATGAATACCGACGTCAAAACGCAAAAGTCTGCTGCCTTATAAAAGAAAAATTAAAATAAGTGACTAGCAAAATTAATAAGTAAAAAGTTCTTAAAACAAATATGAAACTTGCTTACCTAACAGTCAATTTATGAAATTCTTTGGGATCAGTATTCGGTGTATAGTCTATATATCGAACAGAGAACATCTTACAGACTAAACCAGTCTTATCTAATTAATGAGTTAATTTTAAAAATGTATACAGATACGTACTATAAGTATATAAGCTACGCTATCTAAGCAAACAGAAACAAATAATTGAAATAATATAAGTAAAAACATAAAAACACATTATACATATATGTAAAAATCTCTCAATAATTCGTAAATACTCGTTGCTGAGTATCTAATGTATTCTCTTATAGGTTAATACTGTTAATTTAACGTTTTATATGGAACATTTCAAAAATCCTGTTTTATATAAGATTTCTCTGTTCAAAATTTTAATATTGTCCCAATCAAACTCGTGTCCTGTCAATCTGTGTTGAGAAACAATAGAGTAATTTTTTACATTCTTACTAAGTTGATAGCAATGTTCTTTAATATGAATACCAAACTGTCTGCTAGTCTGACCAATATAGCATAATTTTGTCAATAAATCTTGTACAACACACCATTTGGTGCGTCATCCAGTAATTTATCCTCGTAAGGTTTGATCAAGAAGTTGAATTTATTTGAGTCAACGTACAAAGTGTGAAGATTAAACTTTTTAATATTATTACGTAAACTCTCTGAAAACTTATGAATGTAAAGTATAATAAATAAATCAATCAGTGTCATATAAAAATAGAATGTATATGTATTTTCAAGAAATGTACCTTTCTGTATAATATTAATTTCGCTTCACGTCGGCGTTAACTTTTACTTGTGTACTTTATTAATTTGACTGTGTATCTGGAGAGCTTCATTTTTGTATTTGTATAAAATACATTTTAATATTTCTTATCTAATTTCTTTTTGCTACGTTTTCTTTTTCAGGAACGCATGAGAGTAACGAGAAAAGGTTTTGTAAAAAGACATCACTCGGACAAGTCTGAAAGAGCGTTTCCACGCAGAAGACGAACCAGATGCAAAAAGTGTGAGGCTTGCACTAGACAAGATTGTCGGGAGTGTGTGTTTTGCCAAGATATGGTCAAATTTGGAGGCAGTGGGCGCGCTAAGCAAACGTGCCTCATGCGTCAATGTCTTAGGCCCATGCTTCCAGTCACGTCATCTTGTAAAGTATGTAATTTAGATGGTTGGAAACAACCACCTGCACCATTGACGGGTATGTACAATTTGCAACCAATTATAAATATAACTTGTTTTTATAATTTTTCCAAATAAATTATTTGGGTCATATATTTTGAATCTTTTATTCACTTTACAAATTTTTTATTTACTATTATAAATTATGATTATATTATAATACAATTTTATACTGACAAATTAAAACATTTTAAAACATATATTTTAAGTCTTTATATAATTTAAAAATTATATGTGTAAGCTATGTCACTCTCTCCCCATAAGTCGAACATTTAAATAATTTCAGGTAAACCGTTTCCCACAACACCATCTACTTTAATGGAGTGTTCAATCTGCTTCGACATCGTACATCCAGAATGTATAGGTTTGAACTCCAAGGAGGTAACCGTCAATGATGATTTACCAAATAGTTGGGAGTGTCCACAGTGTTGCGAGCAAGGTCGAAACTTGGATTATCGGCCGCGTCAGCAAAGGGGTCGCACGCGAAAATTATCAGTATCCAGCGCAGTCTCTTCAGCACCGACCACGGATTCCGAGCGGGCAATGACACCAAGTAAACGATCGAGACTTGATCCCAACGAGGTACATTAATTCTTACATAGAAATTATTTAAAAAAACCCTGCAGTGGAATAATTTTTGCGTGGTTGAATCTCCAGATAAGCCGCGTTGTATAGAGCGTTGCTGTATACATTTCGCGTGCTTTATTTTCCTCAGGCGTGGAATGATTCGCCCGGAGAACCAGCCGAAGGTGAACAGAGAATGACGCAGCAGCGTACCCAATTAGCTATGCAATTGATTGCCTCGAGCAGCAGATCTTTGGTGAGGCCGCACGTGGTAGTTAGGCCAGCGCCGCTGCCGCCTATCCAAGAAACGGACGGCGAATCGAACGAGCATCAGAATTTGGTGTACAACAAGGTAGTGGTGCTTGCGGTATTTCGATTTCTTAACATAAAGGATCTGCTTAATTGTGCCTTGGTTTGCCGTACCTGGGCAAGATACAGTATAGATTCCAGCCTGTGGAAGAAACTGAATTTGTCACACTATAAACTCCGTTCCTTACACTTGACGGTTGTCATCAGACGTCAACCCGAATGTCTTTCGCTGGACTGGACCAACATCAATAAGATGCAATTAGCTTGGCTTCTGAGCAGATTGCCGCAGTTACGAACGTTGTCCCTTCAGGGCTGTACTTGGGCCGGCGTTCGTGCCCTGAAGAGTTGCAGCTGTCCGCCTCTAGAAAAATTGAATCTGAATTATGTTACCTCTTTGAATGACGCTGTCTTGCAAGAAATTCTGGACTCACCAACGGATTCAAGACCTGGCCTTATTGACAAAACATCACGATTGAAGCATCTCAAGAATCTGTCTTTAGCCGGATGCGATCTTACGGATCGAGGCGTGAGATATATAGTCCAGCATCTGTTGGATCTTGAGACCTTAGACCTCTCCTCGATCGGCAGACTTACCGATTCCGGAGTGGCGCACCTGACGTCGCTGCCAAATCTGGGATCGCTGAACTTAGCAAACTGCAAATTGCTCACCGAAACGACTCTTGATCACCTGACGAGATGTAAGGCGCTAAAACGCCTGGACCTGCGACACACGACTCAAGTATCGACGCAAGCCGTTATCAAGTTCGCTGCTAAAAGCGAGCACAATTTGCATGTAACGGACGTTAAGTTGGTGGAGGAGAAGAAGAAGGTCAAAGCTGAAATTGTGGACACGTGAAAGAGCATTGTGCTCACCCGCAAACTATTGTTCAGTGCAATCCGGTTATCGTCGCGTAAGAACACTGCTTGCAAAGAATTAGAGCCATGATAAATAGTACATGCTACGATCAGTGATTATTTATTTTACACAAGAGAATCTATAGGCATCATTACAAGGTGCATCCTTATGATGCAATAGAAAGGACCTGACTAGCATAGAATTTCTATTTGGATAACACTTACCTTTACCGACGTAAAACCAAACGCAATTTTGACAAGAACGATTCCTTCGCAACTTGGATTTATTATTCTTTTCATTTTTCTTATTGCAGATATTTATCTATTCTATCGTGTAGTTCATGTAGATATATGTTTATGTATTTTTCACTGAATGTCGTTTTAAAAACAAATCTAATTTATTTAGATTTTTTCTTTGAAACAATATCGAGAGGAAGTGGCGCTATTTTATTGCAGTTTTATGATTCTTTTGTGTATCTCTGTAACTAAAACTTGAACTTGGATCTTATTAAATATCATTAAACTAATTGAAAAATATAGTTTTGTTATTCACTTATCATCTTAAAGTTTAATTTGCGAAATTGACTCCAAATTTGTCATTAAAAGGACATTCAATAATTTGGAATGTATACTCACGCGCCGCATACATATACATAAGACACATATGTTATAATTAATATGTATTATTATGTATAATAATAATATATATTGCAATTACGTATACATGCATATATACAC